CCGACTTCCCTCGGCCGGAGCTAGCTTCTATCACAACAGCACCCCGTTCAGCAAGCTGTTTGGGGAAAAACCTCTCCTGACAATTTTTCGATATTTTTGAAAATTCCTCCCGTAGAAGGATATGCCCAACTTAAAAGGAGCATTCCCGCAAATCTCGGCTTGTTCGTTGATGCCAGCGACGAAGCACAGTACGTATATCTTGTGTTGGGGAAGTATTGTAAACCACGTTGTGCAATTCAGATCCAGATTGCCGAATCCGAATTGCACGAAGTTGTCCACGAACGACGTGAAGCAGCGCTATGATTTCATGCATCGTTATGGTCGCTGGTGGAGAGTACGCACAAACTTCTCAGCTGGACCGGAGACTCGCTGAGCAAGACCGACGAATTTTTGGAACTCATGTACACATTGCACAAACTATGGCCGAGGTTGTGGGTTGTATCGCGCAAACGTACTTTGCAAGAACGGTGCGTGTTCAAATTCACGGGAGAGACTATACAGGTGGAGTCTATGAAGCAACCGAATGGCCTTCGGCTCATCGCGCCACCGTGTCCGGGTTGTGGACATGAAGCCTACAGGATGTTCGTTGGGATCTCGTGTGAAGCCACTCGGGGGCCTCTTGGAGGCAATTTGGAAGCCTCTGGGGGGCCGTTTCGGAGCCGTTTGGAGCCTCTTTTGTGCTTCCTGGCTGCCTCTTGGGGCCTCTTTGGGAGCCCCTTGGGGGCCTCTTGGGGCCTCCTGGGCGCCTCTTGGGGCCTCCTGGCGTCCCTGAAGCAAGTTCTGGCTCGCAAGGTAGTCATGTTCTGCGACATCCGAGCGACGATCAAAAACGGGCCTTATGCGAGATGACATAGCGACCTTACGCGGCGGCTAACGCGGGCCGCCACCGCGGCAGGCTACATTGGAGACGAGGGCGCTTACGCGCGGCCTTACGCGGGCAGCTTGCGCGCCAATGTCGGCGCAGACGACGCCATAGAGGAGGAGGAGGAGGAGGAGGAGGAGAAGGAGGAGGAACAGGAGGAGGAACAGGAGGAGGAGGAGGAGGACGAGGAGGAGGACGAGGAGGAGGACGAGGAGGAGGACGAGGAGGAGGACGAGGAGGAGGACGAGGAGGAGGACGAGGAGGAGGACGAGGAGGCGTCGCTCGTCTGCGTCTCGGCGCTCCGGCGCGCCCGCCGAGCTCTCTCTCTTTCAGAGGGCCGCCCACGAGGGCGCCCATCGGCGCCTGCCTGCCCGTCTGTCTGCCTGCCCGTGCGTCTGTCTGCCTGCCTGCCTGCCTGCCTGCCTGTGTGGCGAGGCGAGCCTTCTCAGACGGCTCGGAAGGAACAGGGACAGGGACAGGGACAGGGACAGGGACAGGAGGAGGACGAGGAGGAGGACGAGGAGGAGGAGGAGGAGGAGGAGGAGGACAAAGAGGATGAGGAGATGAGAAGGGGAGGAGGAAGAGGGGAGGTGGAGAATATGAGGATTCAGGAGAGAGCAGGAGGAGAGCAGGATGAAGAGGAGGAGAGGAGGAAGAGGAGGAGGAGGAAGAGGAGAGGAGAGCAGGAGAAGGAGGAGGAGGAGGAGGAGGAGAAGGAGGATGAGGAAGAGAGTAAACAGGGGAGGAGCAGGACGAGGAGGACGACGAGGAGGAGGACGAGGAGGAGGACGAGGAGGAGGACGAGGAGGAGGACGAGGAGGAGGACGAGGAGGCGTCGCTCGTCTGCGTCTCGGCGCTCCGGCGCGCCCGCCGAGCTCTCTCTCTTTCAGAGGGCCGCCCACGAGGGCGCCCATCGGCGCCTGCCTGCCCGTCTGTCTGCCTGCCCGTGCGTCTGTCTGCCTGCCTGCCTGCCTGCCTGTCTGTGTGGCGAGGCGAGCCTTCTCAGACGGCTCGGAAGGGACAGGGACAGGGACAGGGACAGGGACAGGAGGAGGACGAGGAGGAGGACGAGGAGGAGGACGAGGAGGAGGAGGAGGAGGAGGAGGAGGAGAAAGAGGATGAGGAGGATGAGAAGGAGGAGGAGGAAGAGGGGGAGGAGGAGGAAGATGAGGAGCAGGAGGAGGAGCAGGAGGAGGAGCAGGAGAAGGAGGAGGAGGAGGAGGAAGAGGAGGAGGAGGAGGAGGAAGAGGAGGAGGAGGAGGAGGAGGAGTAGAGGCGTCGCTGCTCAGGACGGCACTGCTGTGAGTTGACGGCCCATATGTGCCTCGCTCCTCTTAGCGGCGAGCCGAGAGGGGGGGGGATGGGGCGTCTGACGAGGCTCAGATGGCTCGGAAGGCCTCGGGCCTTCTGAAAGGTTTTCTGAGCCTTCCCCGAAGACGCAACTGAGAGGCAACGACAGGAGGGGATAGGCATCGCGGGGGGGATGCATCGACGTGGAATCGGCGATACATCGCCGATAGATCGGCGATATGCCCCTTATAGTGAGTCCGCACCTTCCTGGGCAGGTTGGGGCTATCGGGCCCCCATCGGCGATCAATGGGCGATTGGGGGTCGATGGCCCCAATGATCGCCGATGGGGGCCCGATAGCCCCAACCTGCCCAGGAAGGTGCGGACTCGCTATCGGGGGCCCATCGCCGATAGATCGGCGCTGTATCGCCGATTCCTGGTCGATGCATCCCCCCCGATGCCTATCTCCCCCTATCTTTGCCCCTGGCAACAACGTTCTCCTCAGCAGGCCGGGGGCCTTCTGAGAAGCCCCTCCTCCTCCTCCTCCTCCTCCTCCTCCTCCTCGTCCTCCTCCTCCTCCTCCTCCTCCTCCTCCTCCTCTTCCGCCGCCCTCTGAGGAGGCCCGCCCCCTCTCAGACTTCCCCCCTCGCTCGCCGCCGAGGCTCCCTCGCCACCCATCCTCCTCTGGTGAGGGGCAGCGATTCGGGGACAGACAGCCGCTCCCGCGCGTGGGCACCGTCACGGGTGCTGCGGGTGTGGCGCCGGAGTGCCGCTCAGCGTGGCGATCCTCGCAGCATGGGAGGCCGTGAAGGAGGAGGACAAGGAGGAGGAGGAGGAGGAGGAGGAGGAGGAGGAGGAGGAGGAGGAGGAGGGGAGGAGGAGGAGGAGGGAGGGAGGAGTAGGAGAAGACTGAAGGTAGGAGGGAAGGAGGGGGAGGAGGGGGTAGGAGGTGGGAGGCGAGGAAGAGGAGGAAGGGGAGAGGAGGAGGAGGAGGAGGGAGGAGGAGGAGAGGAGGAGGAGGGGTAGGAGGAGGAGGAGGAGGGGATGAGGAGGAGGAGGAGGAGGAGGAGGAGGAGGAGGGGTAGTAGGGGGGAGGGGTAGGAGGGGGGAGGAGATGCGGAGGAGGAGGAGGAGGCAGGAGGAGGGGAGGAGAGGGGTAGTAGGGGGCGGAGGAGAGCGGAGAGAAGGAGGAGGAGGCAGGAGTAGGAGGAGTAGGGTAGGAGGGGGAGGAGGGAGGAGGTAGGAGGTGAGGTGAGGAGGAGGAGGATGATGAGGTAGGAGGAGGAGGAGGGAGGAGGATGAGGAGGAGGGAGGAGGAGGGAAGGAGGAGGAAGGAAGGGGTAGAGGGGGGAGGAGGGGAGGAGGAGGAGGAGGAGGGATGACGAGGGGTAGGGGTAGGAGTAGTGAGGCGGGGGAGGGAGGAGGAGGTGAGAGGCTGCCGACTTGACCCCGCTCAGGGGCCAGCCGGGGGGCCACGATTTGGGGGGGGGGCTGGCGAACCTCGACGTCTGCCGGCTGCTTGGAGCCACGTCTGCCGTAGGTGTCGCAGGACCGACCTCGAAACAGCGCGGGCGACGGGCTGGCTACCCTTCCAGCGGGCCCCTCCTCCTCCTGGGCCCCTCCTCCTCCTCCTCTCCTCCTCCTCCTCATCCTCCTCCTCCTTCTCCTCCTCATCCTCCTCCTCCTCCTCCTGAGGAGGAGGAGGAGCAGGAGCAGGAGGAGCGCTGGATGGAGGCAGGCGCCCCTGCAAAAGTCTCCTGGAGCCAGCGGTGGGCGGTGGACCCCCTGCGGCGGAGCCGCGCGCTCCAGGGCGGGCTGGGTCAGTCGGGCCCCCATCGAGGGCGAGTGGGCTGTCGGGGGTCGATGCGTTCCCCTCTGCGCATGTCCCCCCCCGCTCTCTTGGCGGCGCGCGCCAAGGGGGCAGGAAAAGGGGGGGAGGCTTCTCAGAAGGATGCTGCTTCTGAGAAGGCGCCGGCCCTACATCCAGAGACAAGGCAAGGCCCGCGCCGTCCAAGAAGCACGGGCGCTTCTGAGAAGCCGTCCCCTTCTCCCTGACCACCCCCCTTTGCGCGTGGCTGATATGCCTACCCACCTCCTATCGTTGCCCCCTCCTCTGATGGGCCGACTTCCCACCACCACTGCCATAGGTAGGAGAGGGAGGAGGAGGAGGAGGAGGAGGAGGAGGAGGAGGAGGAGGAGGAGGAGGAGGAGGAGGAGGAGGAGGAGGAGGAGGAGTAGGAGCAGGAGCAGGAGGAGGAGGAGGAGGAGGAGGAGAAGGAGGAGGAATACCTCACCATCCTCCCTCCTCCCCCGTCCTACATGTGGTAGTGGTGGTGGAAAATTGGCCCACCACCTCCTCCAGCTCTCCCCCTCCTGAGGGGCAACGATATGGGGGGATAGGCATAGGGGGGTACGCATCGACCTGGAATCGGCGATACATCGCCGATGGATCGGCGATGGGCCCCCGATGGCGAGTCCGCACCTTCCTGGGCAGGTTGGGGCTATCGGGCCCCCATCGGCGATCAATGGGCGATTGGGGGTCGATGCATCCCCCCCTGTGCCCATCCCCCTTATCGTTGCTCCTGACTCGAGGCGTCGGAGGGCTGGGTCCTCCTCCTCCTCCTCCCCCTCCTCCTGCTCCCTCCCCCTCCTCCTCCCCCTCCTCCTCCTCCTGCTGCTACTCCTCCTCCTCCCCCTCCTCCTCCCCCTCCTCCTCCTCCTCCTCCTCCTCCTCCTCCTCCTCCTCCTCCTCCTCCTCCTGTGCCTATCCCCCCCTATCGTTGCCCCCGACCTCCCGCGAGCGTGGTGGGCCGGGGGCCCTCGCGCGCCAGGCCGGCCGGCAGCCCCCGCCTTCAGGCAGGAGGGCAGGGGCGCGCCCAGGGTGGGCACGTCGCTGGGCAGGTCGAACACCAGCAGCCTGCCGCCAGGGGGGGGGGCGACGACGACGACGACGACGACGACGACGACGACGACAACAACAGCGACCACGACGACGACGACCACGACGACGAAGAGTACGACGACGACGACGATGACGACGAATACGACGACGTGGGCCCATCTAACCCCAGGAAGTCTTTAGAAATCCCCTGGCCAGTAGATGGAAAATAAATATCATTCGGGCGAATTTATTGACAACTCGGGAAAACGACCCCGCCCGACAATAGCGGAAAATAATTATAGTTCGGGCGGTCCCACGACGAAGACGAAGACGAAGACGATAACGAGTACGTGTGCGATTGCGACTACGACAGCGATGCGACGACGAAGACGAAGACGCATGTGCGCGGCGCGAGGGCGAGAGCTGGATTTTGAACCACACCAGCCCTCGATCCTTGTAACTGTTACAAACTTTTAAGACGAGTGCGCGGCGCTGAGACGAGAGCTGCACTTTGAACCACACCTGCACCGAGACAATTCTACATTACAACCGTCTTACGAATGTCCTCAAACATCCTCACGCGTGTAGGGTTGCCCATGCGGCATTATTCCCTGGGAGGAACAACCCCCAGACAACAGCGACCGCGCGAACGATAGCGGGCAAATATTGTGTTTTCGGTCGCGATGGTTTCAGAATCCTTCCAAGATGGCTCATGATGGCTTCAAGACAACTCCAAGACAGCGCGAGCAGGAACCACTTCAAGAATTCCGAACAACAATTCTACATCACACCCTGTCCCCCCCCCCCCCCCCCCCCCCCCCCCCCCCCCCCCCCCCCCCCCCCCCCCCCCCACCCCCCCCCCCCACCCCCCCCCCCCCCTTACGAATGTCCTCAAACATCCTCACGCGTGTAGGGTTGCCCATGCGGCATTATTCCCTGGGAGGAACAACCCCCAGACAACAGCGACCGCGCGAACAATAGCGGGCAAATCTTTTGTTTTCGACCGCGATGGTTTCAGAATCCTTTCAAGATGACTCATGATGGCTCCAAGACAACTCCAAGACAGCGCGAGCAGGACTGTGCGCGGCGCTGAGGCGAGGGCTGCACTTTGAACCACACGTGCCCTCCATCCTTGAAACTGCTGCAAACTGTTAAGACGAATGTGCGCGGCGCTGAGGCGAGAGCTACACTTTGAACAACATGTGCCCTCCATCCTTGAAACTGCTGCAAACTGTTAAGACGAATGTGCGCGGCGCTGAGGCGAGAGCTGCACTTAGAACCACACGTGCCCGCCATCCTTGAAACTGTTGCAAACTTTGAAGACGAATGTGCGCGGCGCTGAGGCCGAGAGCTCACTTTGAACAACATGTGCCCTCCATCCTTGAAACTGCTGCAACGTTAACTAATGTGCGCGGCGCTGAGCAGAGGCTGCACTTAGAAACACACGGCACCGCCATCCTTGAAACTGTTTGCAAGAAAGCTCTGCAGACGAATGTTGCGCGGCGCGAACGGGCGAGAAGGCTACACTTTTATATCCTTGTAGTTTTTGAACGACTGAAACTGCTGCAAAACTGTTTATACGAATGTGCGCGGCGCTGAGGCGAGAGCTGCACTTAGAAACACACGTGCCCGCCATCCTTGAAACTGTTGCCAACTTTGAAGACGAATGTGCGCGGCGCTGAGCGAGGGCTGCACTTTGAACAACTGTGCCCGCCATCCTTGAACTGTTGCAAACTGTTTAGACGAATTTGCGCGGCGCTGAGGCGAAGCGCTGCACTTAAACACAGGAACAGCCCTCCATGCCTTGAAACTGCTGAAACTGTTGCAAACTGTTAAGACGAATGTGCGCGGCGCTGAGGCGAGAGCTGCACTTAGAACCACACGTGCCCGCCATCCTTGAAACTGTTGCAAACTTTGAAGACGAATGTGCGCGGCGCTGAGGCGAGAGCTACACTTTGAACAACATGTGCCCTCCATCCTTGAAGCTGTTGCAAACTTTGAAGACGAATGTGCGCGGCGCTGAGGCGAGGGCTGCACTTTGAACAACACGAGCCCTCCATCCTTGAAACTGTTGCAAACTTTGAAGACGAATGTGCGCGGCGCTGAGGCGAGGGCTGCACTTTGAACAACACGTGCCCTCCATCCTTGAAACTGCTGCAAACTTTTAAGACGAATGTGCGCGGCGCTGAGGCGAGAGCTGCACTTTGAGGAGGAGGAGAGGTTTCGGGAGCGGACGAGTTTCGGGACGAATTTATTCACCTCGGAGAGCTCCAAGGGGGGGGAACAAAACTAAAGACTTCCTTGGGTTAGGCCGGGGGGCGGGGGGAAGGAGCGGATGCGGCAGGAGGAAGGCGGAAGGTGCCTGGACGGAGCGGGTAGGGGGAGGGGGAGGGGAGGAGGGGCAAGGCGGAGAGGAGAAGAGGGATCATGAAACTCATTTGGATTGGCCCTCCGCGGTGCCCTGGAAATCCCCGAGCGGGAGAAGGAGAACTCTTGCTCTGGAGCTCTCGTCTGGCCACCTCAGGAAGGGACTCACTCGAGGGCGAGAGGCCAGGAGACTTCTTTGTGTGAAAAACACTTCCAGCTGCCAGCTCTGGGTTCTGAAGGGTGCTCTGAACCGCTCCTGGGTGCACTGTGCTCCGCAGGTCGCACACCGAGCGTCCACAAATCCGAGAACCCAGTACACACAGAATCAATCAAATCTGGTGATCCACACGCCGATCGCCAAAAGAATTGGTGGTCCGTGGGAAAACCCGGTACTGCCAGCAAGAGGAGGGAGGAGGAGGGAAACTGAAAGAGCCTGCGCTGCGTCACTCAGCTGAAAAATGCCGCTCGCCAGAGCGCGCCGCGATGCTGCGAAGCCCCGTCCGGTGTTCAACGCCTCGTCGGCCAGGGAGTCTGCCAACACGTTACAGGGCAGTTTTTAATACATCGGACCTTGATAAATATATGACTTTTAATACACGATTAACTTATGAACAAATTTACGCACGAACTCATCGCTGTTTTTGGTACTAAATCCCTGCACCTTAGTACGTGATCCGCACGCGGAGCATTATTAAATAGCAACAACAACAAAAAACACGCCCGTCGTGCTTTTTTTTCTCCCCAATTATAGCCGGAGTGCAGTATCCCCAAACAGGGTTTTTAGACCCACTGCGGTTTCCAAGGTCGATTGCGTGCCCGTCCAGTGCGGGCTGGCCTGGCATGTTAAAACATGCCTCCTCCTCCTCCTCCTCCTCCTCCTCCTGCTCCTGCTCCTCCTCCTCCTCCTCCTCCTCCTCCTCCTCCTCCTCCTCCTCCTCCTCCACCTCCTCTTCGTCCCGAACGGCATCTCGGAGCTCAGAGTTGCGAGGATGTCTCCAGCGTAACGGGCTGGACCACGTCGCGCGCGGCATTTCGGACCCCAGAGTTGCGACGATGTCTCGGGCGAAACGTGCTGCGAGGAAGTCTCAGGCGAGACGGGCCGGACCACCTCGAGCGCGGCGTCTCACAGCTCCGAGTTGCGGGGGCCTCCTGGGGCCTCCTGGGACTTCCTGGTGACCTCCTGGGGCTTCCTCCTGGGCCTCCTGTGGCCTCCTGAACTCCACCTGGGGCTTCCTGAAGCCTCTTGGGGCTCCCACGGGGGGATATCTAACATGTGGCCGTCGGGGCCCCCCAAAATAGGGGGGGCACAAGAGCAGGAAAAATCAACGAATCGACACCGGATGTGTATTGACTGGACACGTTCTGATAGGGGGCCTCCTGGGGCCTCCTGGGAGCCTCCTGGGCGTCCTGCGGCCTCCTGAAGCTCTCTGGGGCCTCCTGGGAGCCACATGTGGTCTTCTGGGCCCCCAGGCTGGACCACCTCTTGCGCAGCATCTGAGAGCTCAGAGTTGCGAGAATGTCTTGTGCGGAACGGGCCGGACCACCTTGCGCACGGCATATCAGAGCTCAGAGTTGCGAGGATGTCTCAGGCGAGATGGGCCGGACCACCTCGCGCAGGGCATCTCGGAGCCCAGAGTTGCGAGGATGTCTCCAGCGTGACGGGCTGGACCACCTCGCGCGCGGCATTTCGGACCCCAGAGTTGCGACGATGTCTCGGGCGAAACGTGGTGCGAGGAAGTCTCAGGCGAAACGGGCCGGACCACCTCGAGCGCGGCGTCTCAGAGCTCCGAGTTGCGGGGGCCTCCTGGGGCCTCCTGGGACCTCCTGGTGACCTCCTGGGGCTTCCTCCTGGGCCTCCTGTGGCCTCCTGGACCCCACCTGGGGCTTCCTGAAGCCTCTTGGGGCTCCCAGGGGGGGATATCTAACATGTGGCCGTCGGGGCCCCCCAAAATGGGGAGGGGGCCACAAGAGCAGGAAAAATCAACGAATCGACACCGGATGTGTATTAACTTGACACGTTCTGATAGGGGGCCTCCTGGGGCCTCCTGGGAGCCTCCTGGGAATCTCCTGCGGACCCCTGGGGCCTGTCCTGGGCGTCCTGCGGCCTCCTGGAGCTCTCTGGGGCCTCCAGGGTCCCAGGGGGGATATGTAACATGTGGTCTTCAAGGGCCCCCAGGCTGGACCACCTCTTGCGCAGCATCTGAGATCTCAGAGTTTGCGAGAATGTCCTTGTGCGTAAACGGGCCTAGACCACCTTGCGCAGAGTTTCTCAGAGCCAGAGTTGCGAAGGATTTCTTCAGGCGAAATAGACTGGGACCGCGTGAGGCGCGGCATCTCGGACCCCCATAGTTGCGACGATTTCCTCGGGCGAACCGTGCTGCAGGATGTCTCATGGCGAAACGGGCCGGACCACCTCGAGCGCGGCCGTTTCCTTCGGCTTCCGAGTTTCGGGGGCCTCCTGGGGCCTCCTGGACCTACTGGTGACCTCCTGGGGCTTCCTCCTGGGCCTCCTGTGGCCTCCTGGACCCCACCTGGGGCTTCCTGAAGCCTCTTGGGGCTCCCAGGGGGGGATGTCTAACATGTGGCCGTCGGGGCCCCCCAAAATGAGGGAGGGGGGCCACAAGAGCAGGACAAATCAACGAATCGACACCGGATTTGTATTAACTTGA